TAGGGGCTGAATTCCTACAGTCCGCTTGCCATGGCATGGGTGCTGATGCAGGGCTCTGTTTGGCTGAAGAAAATGATATTTTTTTCTAGTTTTCACCAGGAATTATATGGTTTGGGCCAGTATTTGCATTCCTGAGAGATTAGGGGTGGGGCTTCCTCAGAGGTGGAGACACTGGTGGGCACCGGCTGTAAGTCAGGACAGCTGCCTGTGAGACGTGGAGGAAAGCCTGTCCTGTCTCTGGGCCACAGTTTCCTCATCTGAAAAACAGGAGGGTTAGCTGGGTGACTTCAAAGGCCCTCTGGCTATGGGCGAGTATGGCGCACAGACAGGAAAAAGCTGCAGATGCAGTGGGGGCCTAAGGGGTGAGCGGGTGGCAGGCCTTGGCTCTGGGGAAGAGGCTGAGGAGGCCAGCAGGACAGAGGAAGGGACAGGGGCTCAGCACAGAAGTGGCGCAGATCCCCTGTCCCCAGCCTCATCACGTGGTGCCCCACAAGGCCAGCTCTGGCTCGGAAAGGAGGCCCTGGGGCTATAGTCACCTCTCCATCCTGGACATAAGGCCCCGCAGCAAGTTCACAGCAGAGGTGGGAGTAGGACCGAGCCTCTTCCAGGCTCTGGGACTGTGGCATTGCTACCATGCACTCCACCTCCAGGCAGGCCACCTTGGTACCTGCCCTCATCAAGGGTGTGGGCGGACGGGGAGGGACACTCAGGAGTTGGCTGGGGGAAGGGGAGGCATTCTAGGAGGGAAGATGAGCAGCGCTCAGGCCACCAGTGTGGCGGAGGGCAGCCCGCCAGGTCTTTCTGCCCCCTTAGTCATCTTCCATGTGCTCAGAGCTTGTCCCACTAACCCTCCTCTGCTGGCCGGGCTCTGTCTTCTCACGGCTGCTCCCTTGTTCTGGCATGTTCTTTAGACCAGGAGCTGGCAGTCTACCAGGCCAATGACCACCCATTTTTGTAAGGTTTTCTTGGAGCAGTTACACCTGTTTGTGTGCATGCCGCCCAGGGCTGCTTTTTTGCTTCAAGGGCTCCCGAGGCTGAAAACATTTGCTATTTGGCCTTTTACAGAAAAAGTTGGCCAGTCGCTGCCCTAGATCCATCCGTGCCCATGAAGCCATCCTGATCAAATGACTGGCCCATTTTCCTTATTTTACAAATGAGGGAAATGAGGCACAGAGAGGTTAAGCAACTGGCTCAAGGCCACACAGCAAATGAGAGACAGCCAGCCTCTGAACCCAGAGAGGCAGACTCTGGAGTCAGTGCTTCCTTCCTGGAAAAGGTCACTCTTCCAAGGTAGAATTTCCAAACACAAACCAATGCCCAGAGTACAGGTCAGAAAATGGACATCTTATGACCTCTGCGTTAACCGTTTTCTTCCAAAGCTGCTCTTTGTCCTGTTGCAGCAAAGTGTGTTACAGCTCAGTGTTACAGCTCAGTTGTAACAGCAACCTGGATCCGGGCGAGAGACCAAGCAGCACTACAAGGGTTGGAGAACTCAGGTTTATTACCCCAGCAGGCCCACAGGAGTTAACACTACAAGCTCTGGGCCCCGTCTGTAGGTTTACACAGCCTTTTATAGGCTGCCAGTCTAGACTTTGTAACATTTTGCAATATCATATGCAAATAAGGTATAACAAAGGTGATTAATTAAGAAGAAGCTTTGTAGAAATGGACCAATCAGGAGTGAGGGAAATGGACCAATCAGGAGTGAGGGAAATGGACCAATCAGGAGTTAGCTCAGGGAACCAATAGAATCTTAGGGGTAAGTTCCGCTTTCCTAGAAGTAAGCCGTTTCAGGGTTTAAAAAGCGAGATAAAGGCGCTGGGCCAGGGAACCGGATGCTGCTGGCAGGAGGGTAGTGGCCCTGCCTGGGGGTCCTGTCTGTCTTTTCCATGGGGCTTCCCATCTCATTCCGAGAATGTAATGGACTGCATATTTTTGGTTGAACATCGGAAGAAGGCTTATACAGGAGCACTTGCGTGTAATTAATCTCTTTTTTTAAACCTTGATGGTAGAACTGTGAGATAGTACTTGTCTGCTTGGCTTGTTCGGAAGGGGGGCACCTGCACACGGCACCACCCACGTTTGCTGTTGTTCCAGGCAAGGAGAAAAGGGTTCGCTGAGCCACTGCCCAGGGTGTGATGTAGCAGGAGGAATATGTAACCGACTTAGGGGATGAATGAGGTACAAGGACTTCCGAAACCTGTGTTTGCACAGTTGCCCCGCAGTGCAAGTCCTCATAGAATGCTGTCTGTTTCATGGTGGTGGATGAACTGACTTTATTTCCTTAAAACCAAAAACCCATTCCTTGAAATGGGTCTGTAAGGGGTACTTTAAACACTGGTACCTGCCTAATGATTTTTAAAATTTTATGTAAACCTTTGACTTAACGCTATGTAGCCCTCTTACCATCAGCTTTTTCCAGAATACTTTCACTGTTCAGGTAAAGTAAGTCGATGTAATGGACGGTTTAAGGCTGTTCTATATGCAGTGTTTCATTCCTCCTCCTGTGTGCCAGGGCTCCTCGAACAAGGGAACGTGTCTGAAGAAAGAACATGCCCCGAAGAGTGACTAATCCCACACACCAAGCTGACCTTTAAAATCAGCACCAGAGACTTGAATAGATGCTCCACCTTTTCCAGGAAGTTGCTCTTTCTGATTCCGATGACTAAAGGCAGGCCCATAAATCAGCGGCACCAACAGGGAAAACGCAGCGCTGTCCAGAACAATCGTGTTAGTTTACTTGCTGAACCAAACAGGTTCGTGTCATTGACAGCAGATTTAATTACTATCAAATAGCAAGATGAGTGCCAGCCAAGGCACAGACCGGAAACACAGAAACCAACCTGCCACTGGACGGACACATCTTTGGGCGTTCTGGAATCTTCTGGAAAAATCTGGCTTTCTGCACAATTGTGTGTCTCTGGTTTACCCAGAACTTACTCGTATGTCATAATCTATGCATTAACCAAGTGTGGCGGACACTGCTATCCCGACTTTGCAGCTGAAGAAACCGAGGCCCAGACAGGTGACTTCGCACGGCAGACCGTCCTCAGCCAGCTCCCCCGGCTCCTCCCTGCACGCGGCCTCTCTGCTTGGATGGAACCATCATTGTGCTTCTTTTCGCTTCGTCTCCAGTTGTTGTTACTTCTGAGGGCTCCTTCCAAGAGACCCGCGGGCCAGATGCCACGTGGGCTCTCTTCAGGGGACGGGCTGTGGGGGCAGGAAGGGCCCCCCTCGGGAGGGCATCAGAGGGGATGAGGAAGGAAGCTGGGTTTGGGAGCCAGAGCGAGAATCCTATTCCACGTCCCAGCTCTGCCCCTGGCTGAACAGGTAGCCTTGGGGGTTATCAGGCCTGTGTCCCGTTTCCTCCCCTACAGCATGGATATACCTACCCCACCACCATACTGGGGATTTGTGGCTACTGGAAGGCGGCAGTGACAAAATGTATGTAAGCCACTCAAGGACGGTGACAACTGCGATCTAGGCTAGGTCATTTGCTACTCTGCCCCCAGACCAGAACCACACGCCCAGCCCTTTGCTTAGTGACCAGAATTTGTTCCTGAAAACTCTCCTGCTAAGTGAAAAGCCATTAAATGAAAAACCCATTTCATAAATTTTAATGGGAAAAATTGATACTTTCCATCCCAACGCGGTGTTTCAAGCTGCGGCTTGAGACATCCTCTCCAAGGATACGGTCAGAGAACTTATGCCTCTAAGGAGCCCCACAGGCGATCCTAATGCAGGTCCAGCCCGAGAACTCCTCCCCGTCTCACCCTTCCTGTCACCCCGGAAGCGCCTGAGTGTCGCTCCCCAGCCCCAGGCCTGGGACTGTGCCGGGCAGGGGTTACACTGAAATGGTGCCTCACCGTCACCCGCGTTGGCTCCCTGAGCCCCATTTTACAGATGGAGAACCTGAGCAGGAGGCCCACTCACGGCCATCCAGGGAGTGAATGGCAGCGCCCTCAGCTAAATCCCAGGCGGTCCTTTCTGAGGCTCTGTGTTCTCTGGCCTGACGTGGGGACAGCGGCCTTGCTGGTCCAGGCTTTCTTGAAGTTAGACCCGGGGTCTCAGATAATCAGCTGCCAAGGATTAAAGGCCCCTGGTGAGGTGAGGCCTCTGCTGCACCTCCCACTGACACAGCCCAGCACCCCAGCACTTGGACTTGGGGTCCAGTGCACAGTTTCCCACGAGGTCTCCCAGTTAATAAGTCCCAGGCCTTCTTGATGCACGTGGGGAGAGGGAAGGTGCCCCCGGAACACTGGCTCGGTGAGGAGGGTTGATTCAGGGCAGCCAGGAGAAGCGGGGTCTCCCCCCGCAGCCAGCGGGGCCTCTGCTGGGACATCAGAGGTCCTGAGAGCCCCTAACACCGAAGTGGGGGTGCGCTCCTGCTCTGCGGGGCTGTGCAGGGTCTCGTGTGTTGGAGAGGTGAGAGACACACTGGTCCCCACGGGTGTGCGGTCTTCCTGGGGAGACCCGAATGAGCGCGGGAAAGGGGCTGGAGGCCAGGTGAGCGCAGAAAGCTCCCAGTGAGCCTAGCTGCGCAGGAGGGGAAAGGCCAGGGAGGAGGAGGGGGAGGGGGAGGGGGGAGGAGCGGCAGGAATGGAAGGTGGGGTGGTGGGGAAAGGAGACAGAGGAGGGGGACGAGGTAAAAAGTGCAGGGAGCTGGAGCCAGAGGCCTCTCCTACCTGCGCCTTCCAGCTTTTCCCCATGGCTGGGTGCAGGGTCAGGAATATTCCCCAGGCCAGGGGTCACGGGGGCAGCAGGGCCTGGAGGGGCCGGGCAGGTGCTCAAGAGCCAGGCGGGCCAGCTGCCCAGCCGGAGAGGAACCCAGCTCACCAGGGAGGCTTGTCCGGAGGTCTGGGCCTCCACGCAGCTCCAGCTCATGACTGCTACGTGGAAGGAGGGCTCTGTGTTGCCAGATTTCCCAAGTCTACCATCCAGAAGCCGGATTTCTGTAAAAATCTCCGATGTTTGAAGCCTCACTCAAGCCAGACGCCACGTATCCCAGGGCCAGATCCAGCCTGGTCAGCGCCTGACCTGGTCGGTTTGCTCAGAAAAGAGCTTGGCCTTTGGGGTCAGACGAATGGAGCCTGCATCTCCTCTGCCTGGAGGGTCCCGGACAAGTGATTTAATCTCTGTTTTCTTATCTGCAAGACATGGATAAGAATGGCTGTGTCATGGGGTGTGGTGGGGTGAAAGGTAACACTTGCCAGAATCTCCCTACAGGGAACTAGCACACAGTAAGCGATCAGGTTACCAGGCCTGTTGTCTGCAGCCTGCGCTTCCCAGACCCTGTTTCTCAGAAGCGCCCCCTTTGACATCTTTCCTCCTAGAAACCATTTCCCTTGGTTTAGGAGGAAGACCCCCGACAGTCTGGTTTTTTGGCTCTGGGATTAACTGGATTTAGTTTACTGACCTGATGTGTTTGAGGACAAGGCTTTCTTCCCCAAAGGGGAGGGCAAACGCATTAGACGCGTGCATGCAAGCTCCCCTCGTCCCGGCTCTGTCCGAAACTGATGCTCAGGCAAAGGGAAGGTTCGCCAAGGCAGCTAGCATGTGCATGGCAGAGCTAAGCCTAGGGCTGCAGCTTGGCGGCTCCTAGTGCCTTCTCGGTAGCCCCTCTCTCAGCTGTGGGTGGTTCCCAGGGTCAGGGAGGGGCAGCTTCCTCTCCCGGGGTGCCGTCAGGCCCACCTTGGTGAGCTGGGGCCTGGGAAGCTCGCCCCTCTGGAGAAGTTCAAG